CAGCCCCTGGGTCTCCGAGGATGTACTGGGCCCGGATTCACAGAAATATCACCACTCCGGATCAATAGCCTTTGTGTTGCAATGGAGTTGCTGTAATAAGCAACCGGTGTTTTGTAATTTGACGCTTGTGCCTTTGTTTACATCGATGAGAGCTGGACCATATAGAATCCATTGTAGCGAGGGCGAGACAATTTGATCCAGACCACGAACGACTATCCCTTGGGACACCGCAGTTTAGCCATATACAAATGTCGAAAGACCAATGTTCGAATATCCAAGTTCGAGCTGAGAAACTTCTTCCTTCGTATAACCACTTGAATCAAGACCATGCCAAGAAAATTGTACTTTTGGCAAATGCATCGACTTATAAAACACCGGAACAAACTTCAGCGCCGTAAAATGGATATTTAAAAGGAAAATAAGACATAACACGGAGACTAAAAATCCGTGTCTATACGTCGACTATACGCCATCATTGACACAGTTCCGATCCCTCTCTATTACTTTATAAAAATAAAATGACAACTTTTTTAAAATGTAATTCGTAGTTGGGTAGTGACTTGAACTCTGAAAAATTCAAGCACTTAACGGCTAACATTTTTGAAACCTATAATTTACTAATTTTCAAACAAACATTAAAACAGCTCTTTCACTAATCACAACAAATTTAATTTCACCTATCGCTTGTTAATGAAACGATTTAACTTTGATTTTACATTATTCTTCAAGTGTCCTGTATCACTTCTTTCATTATCATCAATTTATTCTGTTCCTAAATTTTGCCTCTGCACGTTTTTGAAAGAAAGTGTAAATATCGATAATCAACGCTGAAAATATTAAATCTGCATTGTAAACTTAAAATATATAAAAAAATGAATTTGCCATTTTCAATTTCCATTTCAATTTCCCATTCCTCATTCTCCATTTCCCATTCTTACTTTGTGTAAAATACAGTATTTTAGCATAGTTAATCTATGTTAACTATGATTTTAGACTTTACGTTGGTTTTAGGTCACTATGGTGTGTTGTCAGAATAGAAGTTACTATGCAACCTATATTTCTGTTTTCAGAATACAATGTGAACTGAAATAAACCGTCGTAGGCACATTCGCCTCAAGACAATCCACATAACAATGCATGACGCATTGCATATAAGAAAAAAATTATAATGTTAACTTTTTTACTGTTTACACAATTGAGACGCTCTAATTTCGGGAGGAACCGGTTCTGGAGAGCCAGTACAAGTATCGCTGAGTACAAAAAATTATGCTGGACAAGAAAATTTACATACGACACGTCGACACAGGGATATAGTCAGCGTGGCGTTTTGGGTTTCCAAAGAATTCGATGCTAGAGAACTATTTGTCGTATCCAACATTGACTGGAGACAAGAGAATATCTCTTGCTCACGTTGG